GATTTGTTTCGGTCTCGATGGGGTCAACACAAGAACTGACAGTACAAAGCTGCGACCCATAAACCCCCGGATTCAATTTTCGCCATCAAAAGGCTTTAGAGAGTATCTTGGGCCAAGAGATCGATTGGACGACACTCCGAAGTCAACGCTTCGCGCAACCGTTGCATCCAATTCGTGCGTCGTGCTGTACTGACGTCTCGAACGTACAGGCGTCCCATATCCTCCGCTCGTTAGTATCTTCAACTTCTTCCTTCGTCAGCCTCAAAAAGGCCTCTATTAGTCTGTCACAGATACCATACACGGATGGAGGAATGGTAATGGGTATACCCTTTGTAACGGGCGGGAGCTTGCGCCACCTAGCCTAACATTTCGTCATCCCTTCTATTTTAAAATTTGTTCGAACACAACTCCCCCCCCCCCCCCTTTCTTTAAGTGTTTCCATCGCTTATTTATATATTTTTTCATCCCTCCCTAGATATTTTCCACCAATCTTCCAGTCTGCTCTTAATTACCGCAATTATTTCCTTATCCATTCGTCCATCCATGTCTGCGAATCCCAGTGCCCCCTCCATATCCGTAGTCATCTCCCCCGACAGGGTGGGACGAAGCCCCGTGCACCTTAAAATTACATGTTCTATAATTTCCCTTTCGCGGCAGCTTACGTCGCACAGAGTGTCTACTTCCAGGAATTTAGCCCTATACGTTTTCGTTCTTAGCACCCCCGTTCTAGCTTTAAACAGCCAATGAGCTCTCCAATGAATTATCATACAACTGTTCCTTCTTTATTTCTAGTTTTTGTGCCTTGTATATTGTTAAAGCTGATTTCCCCTGCATTCTCTCTTCCCGCAATTTCCTCTCAGTTTCCTTCACTTACTTTTCTACTGATATGCTCTGATCCCGATCAAAGTTGCCAGACATTGAGTTGATAGCGATTCAAGTTGCCAGACTGAATTTCGAAAAGGGTCTATGCGGCGCCGAAGTCCGTCTGCTTCTTATGCAGGGGCTGTGGTGACGTCAGAAAGATACCGAGCTATGATTGGCTCTGACTGAAGGATAGTGGGTAGACCTGAAAGCAAGCTGCCTCGAGGTCTGCCCACTATCCTTCCAATCCGAGCCAATCAGAGCTCGGCTTTCTGACGTCACCCGCTGCAAAAAAAGCGGACGAACTTGCACTCCGCGTTGAAGCGGCATGATGCAGCATTTTCCGGAAGAAAGCTCCGGTCGCTGACAACGTCTCTATCCCGTCTCGCTGGTAGCGAGTCGCACCGGGGACCGTGCGGCGTTGTGATCGGCTAATGCTGCATTCGTATTGGCTGCGCGGAGCCCGGGACCTGCCACGCCGCACATTTCTTAAGCTGTCGCTGTGCTTGTACGGTGCGTCGAAGGTGGTCCGTGCTCGAACTGGCGCGGTATCCGTGCTGGCGGGCCCCCGGGTTTGCGAGTCGGGGGCGAGGGGGCGTGTCCGCCGCCGCCGTCCACCGAAGCGCGGCACAGCGAGGGGGGCGGGGCAGGCCTCGGCCGAGATCGATGGAACGTCCGCGCCGTCGCTGCAGTCTTGGGGCTGCGCGAGCTCCACGTCGCGTATACGGAACGCTGAACTTGGAGTTCCGTGCTGTGACGAATGCGGAACCCGATTCTTTTTTTTTTTTTTTATCCAAGTTAAAAGAAAGGTAGCACGATTCTTTGTGGTAAAGTTCCCTTAGCTTAATACGAAGGAACCATATATGGAAATGATTTTCCGATGTTTCCTAAGTAGTGCTGTAAATATATCCGGAATATTCGTAAAAATTCCATCAAGAATTTGTTTTTGTTTATTTATTTATTTATTTTTATTGTTTAGACCTTTTTTGTTTTGGAATATGTTCTGGCTCCGATGCGGAAGGTCCGGCTAGGCGTGTCTCACCGCCAAGGGTCCGGCGGAGGATGCGGGCCCCGTCGAGAGAGACGACCGATTCGAGTGCAGGAGGGGCCGGACCAGCCGATGGCTTGATTGCGGCGAGCCCGTGCCTTACTAGCAGGCCGCGCGGCTACGATTGCCCCGACCGGCGGGCCTCATTAATCGGCCCAGGTATCGCTCCTCGGCTGGTCGCGTCTCTGCCGGGCCTTCTCTCTGGTGTACGGAGCAGCGTCTCGAGGGATGGGCGCCAGACGAGCAAAAACAGGAAGAGCGAAGAGCAACAGTCTAATTTGGACGCTTGGCCGGCCCGTATGGAGGAGTGGGGGTGCCCCCGAGTTCGCTGCTTAGCTCAATCGAGGTATAGGTCAAAGTGATCCGCGTCTCGTATACGGGTCTCGACCTGTGCGGGATCGGCGTCGGCTGGGGAATTTATTTTACGTTGTTTACCGTTAATCTCTCGTGTCCAGATGACTTTTTTTTTTTTTTTGCAAAAATGGTTCGAGCACAAACCAGTCTGCTGGTCTGTGTTCGATGGTAACATATGGTAGTTTAGCACCAGAAAAATAGTTCGGCAGTAAGACGAGGTGTTTTAGCGACCGTGGAATTAACTTTTTGCCAGAGCACACTGATGTCCACTATAGGGAGCTGGGTGGTGCGTTGGGCAAACAGGTATGAGGCCACCGGAAGTAAATGGCTTGTCCCGGAAGTGAACGTTTGAAAGGCTCTCCAAGTCTTCCGAGCGTTCAAAATGTTCAAAAAGCACGACTTTTTTTTTTTTTTTTTTTTTTTCCTTTTTATCTTAAGAGTTTGCTTGTTACGCAATAACAGCTCATGCATACCCGAGAAGCGTCCTGGGAAGTCGTTTGATGTGTGGAAATTTCGAGATTCTAGTTGATCAAATTTACATGTCCCACGTTCAAACGCCTCATCATTAGGGTCTAATTCTAAAAGGGGCTATTAAAACCCAGTTTAAAAAACGGCAAGAAAGCGTGGACCCAGACATCGACCGAACGCGCAAAGAAGCCCAGCAGACAACTGACTTCCGGAACAAGCATCCAACTTCCGGTGACGTCGCTCGCGCCCGGCTTGGACAGTAGCTAAGCGCCATCGAGCCCCCTATCGGCGACTCTACCGAAATCGACGGCACCTCGCGGCCAGAATAGAAAGCTGCGTCGGCAGGTTCGCTCGCCAGCCTTCTCGACGGAATCGTATCTTCGCAGCTCAGGGTGGTCTTAATGCAAAGTATCGAAAGTGGGTTCGAAAACACGTGGTGGAAATCGCCAGTGGGGGAGATCAGTGGTGTTCCCATACAGGACACCTACGCGAAAAGATCGAGCAGGCTTTCCCCGCGCAACTGGTTTGCTTTACTCGCACGCGGAGCTTTGAGAAATGAGTGTGAAGCTGCGGCAGGCGCGTGATGCCCTCCCGCACGCTTGCATGGTCAACGAGTCTTGTGCGCAGCCGTGGAATGGAGTTCGGAGGTCGACTGTGTTTGCGCGGACACGATTTCTTTCGGTCGGCGTTGTGCGTGGCTCTCCGTCCTCGCGGTGGTCCTCCGCTTCGGCAATCGGTTTGCCTGGCGTGGACTTGGGTTACCTGGTGCTCCGAACGTCCAGCTCCGACCTTTGACCCGACTTTTCCTCTTCTTCTTCTTCGTCTCTTCTTTTTTTTTTTTGTGTGTGCTTTGTTGCGTGGAAAAAAGGTGGTTGTTGGTTAAGGAGGCCCGTCCTGGCCTTGCACCAGGACTTTTGGGCGGTAACGACCATATATGGACGATGCTGATACTTGGACCTAGTCAACAATGCGTGTGATTGGAAGATTCTGAAGGTGTGGCCTTCAGCCGTGTAGCATCTCATGCGCGGGCTCTGTGCTATGGACGTCTTGTCAATTCAGTGTAAACGGAAAGACAATGGCTGTTTTGCCGGTAACAGTTTAGGCTTCTCTTTGAGGTGGTATAGGTTCGACCGTCATACTTCGTTCACTCCTAAGCTGACAGTGGGGTGGGAGCGACGCATTTGCCGGACCAATTAACCGCCTCCCCTTCATCACCTGACCTCGCACTTCGCGCGTGGTATGACCATGGTACTCTTAGCTTAGGAATGAATGGAGTATTGAATCAAGTCCGTGCGGAAAATGCATCAACCTGATCCGTAGAAACTTTCACCGAGGTCATTTATCAGTTGTCGTTAGTTTGTCCCTACGGGGTCTCGGATCATCACGTGGCGTACGTCGCCTGTGTTATATAACTATAAAACTCACAAACATGAATTAGTGGTGTTTGATTCTCTATACCAGGGGTCAGCAACCTCCCCCCCATACACAAGGACAAAGGGTATGTTTAGTTGCAAACCCTGTATAACCTCCCGCATCAACTCTGAACACGTTCAAGAGCTTGGCCAGATATAATTCGCTGAACTTTATGACCCCCAAACATGCAATAAGCTCAAGAATCCATTTGTAGCGAACGACTTTGTCAAGTTTTCCGCTGGCTCTCCTGAATTAAAGTTTTCAAATCTACGAAGTCTTGCAGCAACTTTGATCGAGGAGTTCACCACGGCACGTATATATCAGCGAACATACTTTTTCCAGATAAAGACTGAAGTGAAAACGTAGTTCTTGCGAATGACATATGAGCGCCTCCAAAATGTTTTACGACTCTGGGTAAAAGTTCAATTGTGAATGTTTGCATCTTGACAAGCAATATTGAACACGCAAAATCTTACTGAGAAAGGAAACGAGCAATCTTATGTTACGTGTGCCTGAATCAAGACTTTTCATATCACTTTTATGTGTGACCGCCTTTTTTTTTTTTTTCGTCTATTTCTTCAAACCCATCCCCCCCTCCCCCCCCCCCCCCCCTCTCTCTCTCTCGCAATCTCCGTTTCGCGGCGATTTGACCCGCTGCAACAAAAGGTTGCCGTCCCCTGCTCTATAGTCGCGAAGCAAAGATCTCAGCAAGTACAAGGACAAATAGTTGAAGCCAGTAGTACGAGTGTCTGCACTTGTTCTTCACTGGCCGTTCTGTCTAATTACAAGAAGGGCACATTATACGGGAACTGAAGTCCCCCACGTGCTGACCGACTCCGTGCCGTCCACTTTCCAGATGATGCAGGTGTGGAGTAACCATCGGAACGGGCACACGGGTCAGCTGTCGGCCATCACCTCGGGACTGCTGTTCTTCGGCGCTTTGGCGCGCATCTTCACATCGGTGACGGAGACTGGCGATGCCCTCATGGTGGGCACCTTCATGATTGCAGCCGTCGCCAACTTCTGCATCTTTGCCCAGGTGAGTCAGGTGTCCACACTCGTCCCCTAGTTCCTGTTGGTCCCTTCGTTTCCCCCTTTTTTTTCTTGTTTCAGCCATACGTATTCCTTTGTCTATATGTCTGTCTGTGTCTTCGTCTATGGTTATGACTATATGTCTTCGTCTATGGGCATGTCTATGTCCTCGTCCATGTCTTTGTCGTTCCTCGTCTATGTTATTGTCTCTGTCTTCATCTATGGGTAAGTCTGTGTCTTCGTCTACGTCTGTCTGTATCTTTTTCAATTCGTGTACATTCGTCTGTCTTCGTTTATGGGTATGGCTATGTCTTTGTCGTCGTTTATGGATATGTTTTGCCTATGTCCTCGTCTCTGTGTCTTTGTCTATGGGTATGTCTGTCTCCGTCTATGTCTTCCTTTGTCTTCGTTAGTTTATGTCCCTTTGTGTATGTTTACCGCTCGTTCCCCTTGAGGTATTTACAGTGTGCTAATATTATTTATGCAGTACGATTGGGCCATGATAGATTGTCACTAGATTCATTTATAATAGCCCAGCGTGTTATGTGGAGGGCCTACAGAAAGTTACGTTTTCAAGTCGCGCCCCCGTGGGCGCGTTGTGGCTGAAGCTGTCCTCCGTTTCATCCTCTAAGATTTACCGCAGCGAGGGCGCTCGAACTCATAGCTTTGGCAGTTGCGACTGCCGCGCGTAAGTTTGTGCATTCGAGGTGCATCCTTGGGCAAGAAAGTATCTGCACTCGTGAACTAAAAATTTATATAAAAAAAAAAGAAGAAAAGCCAACTGTTTTTTTTTTTGTTGCTTACAAAGGATTATTAAAAAAAACACCTGAATATGGAAAAAAATATCAAATTTTTATTTAAAACTAGGCGTACTTTTTCAACTTTAACGCCAACGGCGGTAGTTGTGGCGATGGTATACTGATCATGAAAGGGAATGTGCTCTGGTACTGCGCGCTTTTAGTTCCTGTAGTATTTTAACAGATGCTTAAATTTGCCAAATCTTAGAAATTTTCGGTGAAACTTGTCGGATATTTTTCCCCAATATGTACGTACGAGCTCGCAGTATTGAAATACGCAATGACTTGAGGTTAATTCTAGGGATGGGCCGAACTTTTGTCGAATCAAAAATTCGGCGCCGAATCTCGGGATTCGGCAAAGCCCAACTTTGCCGAACTTTTCTGAAGATTCGGCAAAAATACGCTGTAGCCAGACTTAACATTGATATTTCGTTTTTCCTGGCGAAAAAAGGTTTACGTTTTTTTTTCTTCTTAACTTAAATGCAACATGTAATGCCTATTGGCACAGTTATTACTAAATAAGGTGATATTCTACAAGATAATTGTATCGGTGTCGTTTTTGTGTGTTTGCTGGCAATTTTGCTCTGACGTCTTGCAGAAGTGCAGTGACAACGATGTTGGGTAGTAACTTGCGCAGCCAACGTGGTTGGTGCGCAGTCACGAATCACGCTACGACAGTTTCGGTTTTGAGGCCTCTTCAGCGTTAGCCTGCAAGTGTGTTCACATTGTTAAAATAAAGGCAATAACTCTGCGTTCTTACTTTCTCTGGGAGTCACCGTTTTGTGTGCGAAAACGAATGCAACGGTTGCTGAGCCTTCACCAGAAGAGATAAAAATATTATTGTAAATATGCGTGTTTTTCGATTTCAGCCACTTGACGTCAGCTTTGCACGAAAGTGTGCTTCCCATATTCGCAACATCTCGTTTTAACCTTTAAGATGCCGGTTTCTATATTGTTAGGACACACATGGACGTTTAAGAAGATGGAAAGACTTAAGATGGGGTCGCATATGTAACATCGAGCATGATAGTTCTGTGTTTAGTTATATGCATATACATGAAAACTGCGAAATAACGCTAATTAAAACGGAATATTATTTCGTCTTGCCACAACCTACTTGTGAGCCGAAAAGAGGATTGTTATAATTCAGGGGAGTGCTTTAAAGTAATTGTCAGTCAATGTTTCAACTCCCTCCTTGCATCCCTGGAAAGGTCAAATGAAAATCACGTTATCCAGAATGTACCGCATCATTTGTCACTTGCGCAGTGCACTGCGTGTGCGTGAATTACCGGTTGATCTTCCGTTCTTGAGGCAGAAAATATTGAAGAGAACCACACTCGCAAAGCCTCTCAAACGCACAGTTACCATGTTGCCTACTGCACATTTCGCCGTAACCGCTGGTTGTACCACACTGTACGATGGTATCCGCGCGGCGTCCATTTGCAATCCATGGCCCCGTCACGTTTCCGCACGTGCCCAGACATATGCCGAATTTTTGCCGAATCTTCTTCGAGTCTTTGCCGAATCTGCCGAATCTGAAGTTCGGCAGATTCGGTCTATCACTAGTTAATTCATCGATTCACTGTGTTCTGAGAGCGCGAAAAATAAGCTCGAGTTCTTGTGGTCTTTCTGTACAGGTCCTTTACTACTGGGACGTGACCAACAAGAGAGTTCAAGACAAGAAGAAATAGCAGTTGGGACATAACTCCAAGAACGCCTCGCCTTTTAGAGCATTTGCTGGCCGACGGACTCTTGAACTACTTTTTTTGTTCTCTGTTGCTTCTTCTAATAATTATATTAATATCTTTTTATCTTTATGTTTTAACGTTAATAAATACCCGAATGTTATTTGGTAACACCATTGAACGGATAAGAAAATTTCTGTAGCGTTTATCTGTTGAGTAATATTTTGGGATGATATATTGTTATAACATATTGGTTCTGATCCCGAGTATATAGGTTCGGGCATGAAGAGGATTATTTGTTGCCTTGATTCTTCGGGATTGTTCAGACTACGGATGATGCTGTAAAAACTTGATTTAAAAAAAAAAACAAAAAAAAAAAACATGATAGATGCATTTCTTTCATTTGAGCTGTAGAAACTTGGATCCGCATCTGAATCAAAATAAGTGCGAGACGTAGCTTTAACCGGTACTGCGACCTTTGTGGATACCAATATCTCTTTAAATGTGTGAATTTTTTTTTGTTTACTTTAGTCGCGCGAAAGGAAATTTTGCTTTGGTACATACCCACTACCTCGTTACAGATTGCTGAAATATTATCATGTTGATTAAACTGAAAATTAAGTCTTTTGCGAGCAATTTGCACAATTCGCAGTAATACTCTTTAGTTGATGTCCCACTTCTTGCTGACCAGTACAAATTTGCCGATTGTTTTTCGCTGTTTATCTTAGCAATATAATATAAGCTAATATGATATCAGTATTTTGTTTATTTGTGTATGTTTGTGTGTGTGAGGATGTCATTTGCCGTTCGGAGCCTGCTTGCCTCCCATGTCGCCGCGTTCGAAGCTGTATTGTAAAAGCTTGTTGCTTTTCCTGAAGTATCTTCTGGCACAAAAGCCGATCGTTTAGCGAAGACGACGAAACAAGTGACTTTTACGCGACCCTTTTTAATCGCTGGGTCTGTGAACCAGTGAGTAGTAGAAAACGGAATAGACCGTTTTCTTGTGACGGTTGCCATGTTCAAATTTGGCGTAGTTGTATTAAGTGACGAAAACTAAAGTACAATGGTTTAAACATAATTGAAATTTAAAAGAAAAGTATAGTTAAGGAAAAAGTATGACTATTGCCACGTACCTCCTGAACCCTGCCAACTTCCAATCGGCAAATGAAGTGATTTGCTATTTTTTCGGAACTAAGCTACGTCAGAGTTCAACATGGCGGCCGCTACGAAGAAACGGTCTATAGGTTCGTTCAATTTGGTTATCTTTTGGGCGTCATCAGGGTATATCTGGGCTCGGAAAGTTAGACTTCCAATTCTACTGCAGTGCTGCGGAGTGTGTAAAACAAGCATCTGCACTTCTTCCTTGGGGTTTGGCATTAATGTCGCTAGCTTTTTTTAAGTTAGCCAGGGCAAGTTTTGACGCCAAAACGCTGGAAAACACTATACTTCGTCTCACCTCAGCGTGGACTATTGTTAGCCGCGCGTGCTAAGAGCGCCGAGTTATTTTATTTATTTATTTATTTATTTACCCTCAAGGTACAGAGTACATTTTAGAGGGGAGTGAGCAAACAATAAATAAACGTAATTAATCAACCAAGGGTGCTGTTAATAAGTGATTGCTTAAAGAGTGAAATATCATTAATATCTGCAATAGAAGCGGGAAGGTGGTTCCAGTCAGTCGATGTGCGAGGTATGAACGAGGTGCTGAATTTGAAGGTGTTAAAATTAGGTATGCCTACCTTGTGAATATGGTCGAGACGGGATGAACGGTAAGAGGGCTCGAGCATTAGTTTCAAACGGAGAGATGGGATGTGATGATAAATTTTGTGAAACAGGCATAAACGAGCTGTTTTGCGCCGAGACGACAAACTGGGAAGTGACAAAGTTAATTTCATTGATGTTACACTGGCTGTACGATGATAGTTAGATAAGATGAAACGAACGGCTCGGTTTTGTGTAGCTTCTAATCTGCTGATAAGACCTTGGTGACCAGGGTCCCATATGGATGACGCATATTCTAATTTAGGACGGACTAAGGACTTGTATAAGGTTAGTTTAAGAGAAGAAGGGGCTTGAAAAAAGTTTCGTTTTATGTAACCCAACGTGCGGTTAGCATTACTTACAACATATTCGACGTGTGTATTCCAGGTAAGGTCAGAGGTGATATGGACTCCAAGGTATTTATAACATGTAACAGACTCAAGGGGTTTATTGTTAATGCTATAAGTAGGACATAAACTGTTAGAGCGGGATACTCTCATTGACTTACATTTATTAGTGTTAAGTTCCATTTGCCAAGAGTTGCACCAGAGAGCTATGACGTCAAGATCAGATTGCAAATGAATTACATCAGAATGGTCAGTTATATTGCGGAAAAGGACACAGTCGTCAGCGAACAAGCAGATCGGCGAGGAGATATTAGTTACGAGATCATTAATATAAATTAGAAACAACAGGGGACCAATTACAGAACCTTGCGGTACACCGGAATCGACAGGCACCAAATGAGAATTATTATTATTTACGTTGACGAACTGGACCCGATGAGATAGAAAGGCGATAATCCAATCAAGCACATAAGGATCAATGTTTAGAGTGCTTCGGATGAAGCCTCGGCGGCTGCGCTCTTGCAGCGAGTGCTCCGATCAAGGCATTCGAGACTTGCGCTCGCGCTCGCACAACCTTCGCAGTTAGTCAATGCTAAGGTGAGATGAAGCGTAGTTAGCCTAGGAAATTGAAACACCAACATGTACTGCGCTCACGGGAAGGACAGTGATCGAGTCACCGGCAGGGTAAGAACGACAGAAAGCAGTCTCAGTAGTCCTGCCCCCAGATCGAGCTTCTTACCTTCGATAACGCGTCGGCACCCCGTGAGCCTCGAACGTGCAGAGGCAGTCGAAGCACGACGGAAGGCAGCGTTGGAAAGAGACTTTCTGTCGTTCTCACCTTGTCAGGGAATGTAGCTGATCATTTTTGCTTCGGTAAGTGACCAATTTACTCGGGTGGTGTCATCTACGAAGCGAGCAGGTGAGCCCCCGATGGTAGACCTAAGTGCACTAGTGGTATGCACGCACCAAAGCAGAGCTTCCAAAAAAATTTCTAATTTGTGCAAATTTTTTTGTGCGTGTGCGCATGCAAGAAAAATATATTTCTCTCCAGCATTGCGGAGATTGCTCTCTTTTCAGGATGTTTGTGCGAACACGTTTATATTTGGCACATGCGAACATGGGAAATGGTACAACGTGGGAACTATACCACAACTGTACGAGCCCATCTGAATCGCTCGCTAGTTGAAATCAACGCAAAAATACGATTGAGTATTGTTAAGTTGGAGATAGTTGACTATTGCTTGCTTGTTGTATGGGTCCCGTTTTCTTTCATACTGAGCGCCTCGGTGTTGCATTCTTCGAAGTGCGCGGTGCCGGTGTTGTAGAAAGAAGCTTCATGTGTCGTCACGTTCGTTCCACGCCTTAGCATTTGTTTCGTGTCCGTCACATCGTCAAAGACCTAGAACCTGTCCATCATGCTGCACCGCGGGGAGCAGAAAAAAAGCAACCTTGTATTAATAAAATGTTTCTATATTTCTAAATTCCCGTGTCTGGCTTTTTTTTTTTGTTTTTTTGTTTCGGGATTTTGGTTGATCCGAATATGACCCGCTGTATTTGCCTAAACGATTTCTTTTTTAGCGTAATTTTATTACGTCCGCTCAGGTAAGTAACAGAGCGTAAACAATTAGGACGAACGACCGATCACACGCCAACTTGAATGCTGTTGTCTTAAACTCTTAGATTGGTGGAGTGTACTATAATCCTCGGCAGCGACCTATAGGTGACATATATTGTTTTCGTCGATGCCCTGCCTGAATATCATCTCCAAGGGAGAGATCAAGTGATCTACGTCTTACTATGAAGCATACGGACGAAGGATCGCACCCTTCGTACGAAAGACAGTCTGCATGCAGACACTGAGGCGTTTTTCAAACGTGCAGCTTTTATGAATGTTTGCTTCCTATAGTTCCGGGATTCTCTAAAGTTGTGAAGCGTTCACCAGCTTGAAGATCTCGCAGCCTCACGATCACATTTGATTCGCCCTTTTCTCTTTTTCTAATTGGTCGTCGCGTTACCTTTTGATGAAGTGAGCGGCGCGGCAATTTGAGCCGCAATGAGCCTCACGGAGAATGTTAATGACTGGGCGCGTCTCGCTAATGAAGTATGGGCCCTTGATGAGTATATTACAACTTGCCGTAGCCGGGCAACGCGTGTCCATTGCTCTCGAGATGCTCCGATCTTTTATGGCCAAATTAATCGGGTTTTTCTTCTTTCTGTTACGGGTCGCCGTGCGGGTTGATTAGTTTAGTCTACCATCGGGTATAGACCCCCTTGGTTTCATTAGTACGATTAGAGGTGGTGGCTTGGTTACCTTGTAGTTTTGCATCCGCAGTTTCCTCTTTCGCGAGATGAATCGCCGCTCATGTTGTTGTTGTTTTCCGCTTGAATTCTTAGTCACTTTGCGTTCGTGGAGGGATACCGGAAAGTTGTGGATGACGCGAGAAAACATGGAGGCCTCTTTTTGAACCTTGGTGCGAGGAACTCGGAAGTGTTGAAGAACCAATAGCGACGAATTGATGCCCATCGTGACCAGGTTGCGGTAACTCTGCACCCTGAGGACGAGAGACTGATGGCAGGATGTCGGGAGGCGCTCCTGGTAAGAGTCGAGAAACCCGTTTGGAGGCTCTGACTTGTCCAGCGGATGCTCGGATTAATGCGGGATTAAGGAGTAATCTTGGGCTCGAACTAAAGTCGGGTCAATCACCATCATCGGTTTCGGTTTAAGAATAAACTACCCTCGCCCTCGCCTTTATTTTTTTTTTTTGTTAATTATTATTGTTACTTACGACAAGGCACACTTACAGTTTACGTTTATTGATTAAAGTTAATTAATTTCAGTGTATTTTGGTATTTGTTGGTTCTTAACATATTGCTGTTTGTTTGGATTACCTTTTCTTCTTTTTTTTTTTTTCAGAGAGTACGTAATTTAATTTTATACTTATCGTTACCGTGCACACTGTAATGACTCGAGAACATTT